TATAGAAAGGTAGATTAAAAAAGCAGCTGTTCCAGTGGCTCTACTCAGCTGAACACAGAGCAGACCGGCTCTGTAAACAAACCACAGAGAGGCTGCGACAACAACACAGGCAGAGGGAGTGTGACACCATTCACTATATCTTTACATAGCAAATAGTTGTTTTCTGCTACTATAATGTTTTAAATCTCTCATATATATATGTATATACATATCCTTAGTTATTGTGATAGTAGCGAGATGTTTGAGTGTATTTTGATTTGAATTGGGACTCTGTGTCAGTTGGGTGACAAGTCAGTGGGAGGGGTGAGAAAGCGATAAATATTATTGCAAAAATGTAGCTGCTGTTCATATCTGTTCAGAGTGCGTTATCTGTTCATGTCATAATTATGTATTCAAATGTGTGTACATATCCCCAATGGAGACATGAAAAATAGTGGCCTAAATGAATCTTTTCAGTTTTACCTGGTTTCTTGGAAAGTCTTTGCCAATGCATCACTTGAATTATGAGTACAGGACAAAATCTCACATTTAGAGAGGAGGAAGTGTCTTCCTTGTTTTGCATCCATTATTCAGCAGCCTAACTTTCCCCTGGGCAATACAGAGTGAGTTCTGAGACCTTTAAATGAATCAAAAAGCTGGGCCAGTGTGTCTCATGCCTGCCTTTTTCCTGGAATAATTTCTGAGACTCACCCACACACCCGAAGCCACACTATGCCCACTCCTTAAAATGATATATGGACCAGCGGACTGGCAGCAAGGCTTCAGTAATTGTATTGTATTTTTCATATGATGCATTCGTAATGAAACCGTTGCATATGTGTGCGTGTGTGTTTGTCAGTTTGTGCACATGAGAGTGAGTAGAAGTGTGTGTGGGCTGCAGGGAGATTGCAGAGGTGCTATAGATAGCTTAAATCCAATCCTCATTGCTGCTGGAGGAGATACTGATGAAAACTGAAATGGGCTACGACAATATCTGTGCTGCTCCTGCAAGACATTAAAAGAGACGGCGGATGTTTTAACGCGTGGTTCTTCCCTTCCTGCACAGCCCTAAACCCGGCCGCTTTGGGTGCTGATGTTTACGGGCTCTTTTCACCACCTTCCCGACTAGAATGCGTGTGTGGAACCTTTATGAAACACAAAGAGACATGTTGTGCCTCTGGAGACACATGTTCCCACATCGTAACATACTGGGCTTGATTAATGTCACTGCATAATGGATCGATGTGTGGATATTTGTCTGATAAGCTGAATAATTTGTGCGCTCAATTGACACAACAGTGTTTGAAGAATAACATACTTTCAGTTCAGCCACTGCTGCCCACACAACAGATCAAGGGTTCCAGGCTATTTAAAGACAATCTGTACTTTTTTAGTCTAGCCTTTAGCCTGGTCGCCCTTAATGCAGTTCAGTTCTATGTGTTTTAAAGTGGTGACAAATAGCTGGGTGGGATGTGATGAAAATAAAGTGTGAAGCTTCGAAACTGGCTTGCTGCCTTGATATTGAGTAATTAGGGAATGTAACACCTTGCAAGTGTAAAACAAGTTTGCGCTGAGTGCCGTGACCTTAGAGTGCGATGAAACGGCAATTAAAGCAAGATGAGGCGTTTAGCATTGTTCAGTTGCTATGCAATAAATCTAAATGAAATGCTACAGCTTCTGTCATCTCATTGTTGCTCCAGCACAGCAATTTTTTGTTTTGTTTCTGGACACAATTTAGAATGTCATTCAAATTGCCTTTCTAATGTCAGACATCTCCGCTCTTTCACTGCACATTTACCAACGCACCAAAGTAGCAATTATGTTCAGAGCTACAGTATGTGCATGTTGGCAGTGCTGCCAAGGAAAGTGTTGGAAAAGCAGCCAGGTGAAAGTAAACAGTATATGAGGAGCACATTATTCAGGTGGTGGATTTTACATAAATAATTGCATAAAATCTGAAGGGCAGAGCATATGTTTGAATATTGTTGCTAACTAACTGTATGACATAAGGAGCCCTATGACCACAAGAAGTGAAAGTCACAAATCACAGGTGATAGTGAATGGAGAAATTAAATATTCCAGCCTGACACTGGACATCGATATTGATTTGAGTTGAAGAATCCAATAATGATATGTCGCCTGAATATTTGTTTTTGTTTTCTTTAGCAAAAACAAGTACTTTTTTTAATAAAGAATCCCTAAAATTTGGATATTAAATATGAAATGAATGAGAAAGTATGGTGGCCATGAAACTCGAAAATGCTAAAAGGCTCTATTTAGAGTCAGTGTTTGGTTTGTCCAATTTGAGCTACTGTAGAAACATGGTGATTCAACATGGCGGACTCTGTAGATGACCTGCTCCCTCTGTAGATAAAAAAAAAATCTATAGTGTAATTCAAGCGTAAAACTGTATAGCTGCCTGCTAGCCAACACTGCATGGACCAGTACCAGCCCATGGTCTGGTCATGTAGAATTACAGGTTTAGATCATCTGGCCAAACTTTTCACTTTACTTTGCTGAGTACATATCAGTCAAACAAGATGCCGACTGGACTGAAGAAATAAATGGATTCTAAAAAATGCATTTTTCCTCCACCCCCTTCCCCCTTCACTTCTGGATAAGTACCTCAAACAATTGAAGCTCTTAAATTACTTTGCATTGTTCAGTCAAAAAAGATAAATGGATGTTGAATGTTTGTAGCGCGTCTACAGTTGGATGTACACTCCTTGAGCAGGAATATTTATTGGAAAGTACTCACTGTCTCTTTCTGTCTTTGTCTTGAGTAGGATTCAGTTCTACTCTGATCTCTCATTCAGACCCCCTTTAGATTTTGAGCTTAACTTGACCTAGTCTTCGTACTGACATGGACTTAACTCGAGAACACGCAAAAATTCTCTTGAATATAAGAGTGCTATCAAATATAGACAGCCGCAAAATCACAAACTGACTTAGTTATTTCCTTTTTATTCAAGTAATATGAGCAGTAAAATCAGTGGATATGATTTCCTTTAGCCTGGCAGGTACTGACAGTTGACCTTTTCCATTAACAGTGGTGTATAAAAGCCCAGGCCTGTGCCCTTCACTTGCCTCCCATTGAGCATGAGCAGAGCATGTTGTACATGTTACTCCTGAGTAACCCCTAAACCAAAGGTGAAGCCCCATCAATCACACTGAGCCAAAGTCAAGGCCGACATTTCTCCTGGGAGCCGACAGCAGAACAAAAAGCTGATGCTTCACTGTTCTTTACTAAAAGGCTTCACTTATCAGGAGGATGCCAATGCAGAGCATGAGCCGAATCCGCATCCCTCCACCACTCAAATGATAGTTCTATCTCCAGTGGTGAGGTATAAGACATTTTAGATCTCATGTCCTTGAATTTATTTTTATATATATTTTTGGGAGGCTTTTATTGCCTTTAATGGATAGAGATGGCTGAAGAGTGACAGGAAGTTGGGGGGCAGAGTGGATGACACGCAGCAAAGGTCCACATGTCGGATTCAGACCCTGGTCCTCTGCAGCAAGGACTCAGCCATGGCACATGGGGCATTAGCTCTACAGGTGAGCTATCCAGGCGCCCCCATATGTCCTTGAATTTATCAAAAAGATATTGGTAGATCAGTTTTATTCAGAAATATTCAGCGACCCTGTCTGCATATCAAACCCGGGGTTTACAGGTTTAAATGATCACTGTGCCCCCATTTGTAGGCAGTACAGGTGAGCAGTGTTGCATATGATCCTATTAGCAACTGCCCCAAAATGTTGCCTTAGGCCTGAGTGCTGAGTGGATTTTGTGAAATCGCAGTCCCAGACAAGCTTTGCTAGTAAATAATGACAGCGCCAAGTGTCTATTCATTAGACTAATCACTGATCTAATCACTTCCCATTTAGGTAGCGGATGTTATTCAGCCAATGGGACCAATCAGATAACTGTGAAAAACGCTAATATAAACTGAGTCTATTAAAGTTAGACATTTGGAGTAATGATTCGAAGTTAACTTCAGTATTTACTTTCAGGATGTCTGGCATTCTTTTCAATTGTGCAGATAAATTCCAGGAACTAAAAAGTTAGGAACTACCAACAAACCCAACAAAGCTGTTTTGTTGTTTTCATTGCGTTTCACAAACAGTAAGATTAAGCAAACTAGATGGAATACGAAATAAAAAGTGACTATGTGGTTTGAGATGTATTTTTTTTTGTTGGGGATTTTTGTGGTATTAGGTATAAGTAGTATTTGAAACATCTCAACAAACAGATTCAACATTAGGTAACTGTGGTTAAGTTTTGTTGTTTAGGCACGCGATATATCTTGGTTAGTTTATGTTCATGAATTGAACTGAATTGTTGTAGTTATGTACAGTTAGTGTATGTATTCTGCTGTATCAGGTATAGGTGTGACAGCATTTATTGGAGGAGATCTTTGGTTTGTATTCTTGCTAAATGACACAACTAAGCAAACATGTCTGTTCTTTTTCAAACAGATTCTCAGTCTAATTGTGCTTTAGGGACAGAAAACCTATCATGCAGAATGAGGACCATACATTTTCAACCCAAAAACCCCCAAAAGTAAATGCAAAAATACAGTAAGGTTTCCATGTGATAACAGTGTAGCATTGGGTTAGTGTTTCACATTGTGTCCTTATCAAACGTGTCAGAAAACCATGTACCGGCACAATGCACAGTAGGGAGCACCATCACTTTCATTAGTTGCCATTGGCCATTAGTTGCCATTTTTAGAGCAGCTGTATTGTACTGAAAGAGCCGATGAAAAGCACTTCTGCTGGAAAACTTTGTAAGCTTTTGCTTATATATTGGAACAAAAATATGGAGAAAATTTGTGAGTACGGCATTAAAAATAAGAGATGATTAAGAGTTTTCCAACTGTCTGAAGCGGGTAACCTTTGGGATAACGCTTATGGAGTAAAATAAAAAAGGAGAGGAGCAAAGGGAATTCTCCACTGAATTAAAGAAAAGGCTTGACTATAATGAACCCATGATTGAATCACCGCCTTTCTGCTTGCAGGAGAATGCCTTTGCCTTGATGGCTACATGAAGGACCCGGTCCACAAACACCTCTGCATCCGCAGTGAGTGGGGGCCCAATCAGGGGTAAGTTATGATAATCACCTCATGATGGTTTATGATTGCTCATTATCAGGCAGAAGAAAGGGTAGAAAAATCATTTACAAGGGGCTCCTCCTACACATCAAACATGGCCATCCTTTTGGCTGAAAAGATACATTAAAAAGAACTGTGATTTTGCCAACACCAATTAATATTCTGAATCAGACAGGACTGCAGGAGAACCATAACTACACAGATTTATACGTGACTCATTAGTCATAGACATAAAATACAGAGTTGTCTCAAAGTTGTTTGCCTAATTAAAGAAGAAAAAAAGTCAGATAGGAGCGTGAATACATCCAGTATCGATTACTTAAATAGCATTAAAAACATCACTTTTATATCACAAAGCACATAAAAAAAGAATAAATACCCTCAATAATCTCTTTTAAGTGGTTTTAAGGATATCAAATTATGGATGGCCTTTGTTCCTGGGTCTGTCCACAGTTATGTAAGAAAGCTGAGGTGTAATGTTTGACTACAAATACACTTTTTCCACATGAAGATAATAGCAACAAATTGGCATATTTCTGAGATCTGGAGACCATTTTACATTCTGTTATTACATCACATCCTGTAACTAACCTATGTAGGAATCATCCATATATCGCCTGCAGTTCAAAATGCAGCAACTAGACTCCCTTTTACCAAAAACCCAGAAATCATTCTTTACCAGCCTCCATTTACTTTTTTTTGGTTTTAAAAGCATTGCATTTACTGCCACCAGTGTACAGCCCCCACTGTATGCTCAGACCCCTCAAACCCGCTCATCAGATAGTTCCTCATCATGACACGTTCCCAGTCAAAGGTGACTAAGCTTTTTTCCACTGCTGCTCCCTGACTGTGGAAGAGGTAACCTTCACTGTTGCACCTTACCCGTCTACTGCCAAGTTTAAACCCCAGCTAAAGGTCGACCTTTTTACAGCTGCAGTCTCCCTAATAATTGATGTAAGTATAAGATTTATTTAACTCTGTCTCTCACAATTATTTACTTATTTATTTTAGTTTTAATTATTTAATTATATTTTAAATCCGTCTGTGTAAAGCACTTTGGTCAACACTTGTTTTGTAAATGTGCTCTACAAATACATTTGACTTAATCTGGATTGACTTAATGGTGTAAAGCCTTTAAAGTAATTACCAAACCCACTTACCAAATCTTACTGCCTGGCTGACCATACTGAATTGCTGGGCTTTGTTTATCTATTTGTGAATAATTAAAGGGGTAATCCAACGATTTAATATTGCACTCCCGTAGAGTTGGGGGACTCTCATGAAACAGATGTCAAAACAGAGAATGTAACAAATGAGCAGCAGAGATATTCTAACCATTAGTATGGGTGGCACTCTGAAACTCCTGAATTCTACAATACCCATAATGCAACCAATTCATTTCTTTCCAATTAACACCTTCACTTTGTAATGTAGGGCTGTATTGGCAAGAATCTGCCGATACGATATGTATCACGATACAGGGGTGACAATTAAATATATTGCGGTATATTGCGATACTTACAATGTTTTTTCAAGTCTAATTTAATGTAACGTCTAATTTAATGTAACGTCCAACATCATTGCACTACTTTTTGTGCAATCTGAGCGTTGGAGTGGAAGGAGTCAAATGGCTGAAGGTAGATTACAACACTGCTATGTAGTGGGGTTTAAACACGACCACAAATGAACCACTGACATGAATATTTGCATGTAAACATTAAAAACATTATTCTTGGGAATTGATAAAGTATCACAAAACATAATATCAAGCGTATTGAGATTGTACTTACATCATTGTTGTAATGAATGTGTTAGTTATGAATTTGTAGACTGCAAGCCCAACACATATAACCCTGCTGACCTCACTGTGACATCATTTGGGGTAGTTTCTTGCTGATTTAATAAAGCTCCTCTAAACCAAAAGTACTTTCAGTCATACACCTAAAAAGAGAGTTGAATGAATTTTATCACCATCAATAAATCACTTTTAGGCCAATGGTGAGTCAGTAAAGTTGTGGGTGCTTTATCATGCTTTTTTGGGCTGCTCATCTTTTTGGGTGCAAGGTCACTTCTTCTATATTACAATAATGATTTCAAGTGATGACTTGATATCTTTTGGCGTTGAAAAATGCTGTTTCAGATCCCGTCCTGGGAAGTCATATAAACGCTTAATTGGGTTCACATCTGCTTGTTAAAAAGTCCTTGACATTTGGCTGACACCTGCAGTCACAGTGCCAGCCACTGGGTGACCACTCAGGGTGTTTGTGTGGGGGTCCTAATGTTACAGAAAGAACTGCTCACATCAAATAAGACAAGTGATCCCGCATACCAAAAATACCAACAACAGTTATCCTGGTGCAGTGTATTATGTTATTACTCTTGTTTTATTACTCATCAGTCATCCTTTTCCTCCAATTTTTAACCAGATTCGAACCATTCAGAATATAGGCATTCAGAAAAACAGTTTTTAAAAAGGCAGCTCTTTTCCGGATATCTCATTTAGCAAAATTGACTAAGAGTAAGGAAGGGGTGGGGTAATTTATCCTTTTGATATCTGAGCAATAGACAGACAATAGACTAATTAAGCAAAAATTATTTTGCAGCTTATTTTAGCAGTTATTATTTCTCATGACTATCAACTTCATTTTTATGAAGCCTGATGCAGTATTAGGCAGTAGGTTGTGATTGGCCTGATCCAACACATAACAGCCATCGAACACCGCCTTATGTAATAACTCGACAAAATGTAATATATTTTCATTTCTTTATGTAATAGCACTCACATTTTGTAACAATCTGCCACATGCCAAAAAGCCTGAACCTAATATGTAAAACATTTTCCCTCATTTTGTATTAAATTGCAAAATGTAGGACTTGCACTTTTTTGGATGAACTGCATTTTGAATAAGGAATCAAGGAAATGTATTTCTTAATAATGTTATTACTTAATGTGTTGTTACATGGCTGAACTGTCGGAGCTTATTGTTGCTGCTCAAAATGGAAAAATTAAATATTAAAGCAGTAATGGCAGGCATGTGATAAACAGAAACATTAGTAAATGGTAAACCTAAAAGTAACATTTCGAATTATATTGGTGGTTTCCTTTTAAAATGAACTGATGAATGTATAATGTAAATTTGAAAATGAATGAATCAATAATTGATTAAAGCAAATCACTGTCTTTAATTATTCCAATTGCACTTCCCTGGTGCCATCGATGTGTTTTATGTAATTTCAATTGTTTATCATGTTTACTTGTACCATATTATCATTTAAATGAAACATTGCAAGTGAGCCTGTAATTAGGTCTAATTAAACACACCTTGCAGTATCATTAAAACTGACAAACTGATACAGCAAAATGCATTGTTTGGTACCAACTTAAAACACTCATGCAGTGAAGATTAGCCGTACACGTTAATTATGATAGGAGAACCAAAATAACGTCTAGAGCATCACCAGTCCGTGGCTTGCAGCATGTCAATTTTCATTTTATTTTGACTGTATCTCATGCCAGCCTCACTGCATGTTCAAAATGTAGATTCCCCCTCAGCCCACCCAACTTTGCACCTCTGTATCTCATTTCCCCGGTGGTCCCCTTGTGTCCCTGTCACCATGTGACAGAGTGGGCACCCTGGGGTGACTTAAATGTTTAATGACCACAGCCTGTGGCATGGAAGCCGCTCCCCCTCTTCCCTGATGTTCTTTTTGCTTACAGTAGTGTAGGAGTTGCTCAGACTGACATCGGGCCCCTGTCACTTCTCCTCCTTACACTCTCACTTTGCAGACTGTTTAGTCCCCGAGCTGCCACTCCCCATTAATCTCCATCATTCTCCCTCTCTCACTTCTGCCTCTTGGCATCCGTCTCCTCCCCTCGATGTTCACCCCTCTCTCCCGCTCCCACTCTTTCTCTCTCTTTTTTCACTGTCTGCTCTCTCCGTCACCCACTGTCTCTTCCTCCCTTTCTATGTCTCATCCTGTCATCCCCTCTTATCCCCTCCCCTGGTAAACAGATATGAGGCAAAGTCACATTGCATGTCGGCTGCCGGAGAACACATTTTTCAATCAGCATGTTTACACACAGCACACATCGTAATGCTGCTTGTGATTTGAGGGGCTCTGGAAGGCAGGAATGACTTGAAGTCAGACACTGAAACATGGCTTGTGATTTAAGGGGGTTTAGATTAGGCAGGTGGGTACACTGAAAAATTTAACGCTTCTCTCGCTTTGATTTTAACACAGGTTTATTCTCTCTCCTCTTTTTTTTGTCTCTTCCTCTGATCTATTCTCTTTTTCATGCCAGTCCCTGGCCTTACACCATCTTCCAGCGCGGTTTTGATCTTGTGATGGGAGAACAGCCTTCTGATCGCATTTTCAGGTAAGGGGAACTTCATAAAACTTTGTTTTATCTGACTACTTTTTCCATGATGCTACGCGATGCATGCTGCACAAAAGATTGTACATTCTAATAACCTGTTATAACTCCAGTACAGTAGCTTTGATTTTCCTCTCTCCTTCATGATGAAGGGAGGATGGGGAGCTGCAGAAAGCCTTCTGTACAGTAGCTGAGTCTGACAGTTTTAAAGGTGTTATGTAATGGAGAGAGAGATTGTCAAATTGGAAAAGCAGAGCCACTTCATTTTCTCTCAGGTCAGATAATCCATGTGTTCGGATGTTGAGAATCAAAATTGATTAGAAAAGAACATTCAATTGGCAATAGAAGGCAGAAACTAATAACTGGACAACAATAGCTTTTGTGAAAGTGTCTTATTGTCCTCCACAGTACAGGGACAATACACTTCCTTAAAGGATATGGTTGGAGTTATTACACATTTTTGTTATTTTGATCGTATTATATATCAATCATAAAACAAAGACATTTTTGACATCTCCACCCAATCTGTGGAACTATGGCTATGCAACTATTCTGAAGACAGAATTCTATAAAGGACCAGTGTGTAAGATTTAGTGGCATCTAGCGGTGAAGTTGCAGATTGCGACCAAATGAGATCTGCTCACCTTCAAAGCATGTAGGAGAAACTCTGGTTCTGGGCTATTGTAGAAACATGGTGGCCTCCGTAAAAGAGGACTCGTTCCCTCTGTAGATAAAAACAGCTCATTCTAAGGGAACAAAAACACAATGACTCTTATTTCCAGGTGATTATACACTAATGAACACATACCTATGAATATTATATTACATTTCTGCCAATTGATTCATCTAAATGTTACACACTGGACCTTTAAAGTAGCATTAATTTATTTTTGACCACTTGAAGCCAATGTTCTGTAAACACACCGCTTACATATGATAATTTATCAAGCTGTCATGGCAAATGTGTTAGACAACTTTTGCCTATCAAACAGACACAGAGCAATAGAATTAATTTCAACTGTTTGTGTCAGCCCAACCAATGTAAGTCCAATCCCTCTCCTTTTATCTCTGTTTTGGTTCCCACCAAGTCTTGAAGGATGATGGTAAATGCTTTGTAGACTTGGGAGGGGGAGTTGCAGTGTTGGGTTATAATACCTTGTGGGTGCCCACTTTCTCACATAACAAATACAATAGTCACATAGTAAATAGCAATGATAAACCACAAGTTTGAACCTCTCTGCTGGACGTAGTGGATCAGCAAGCTGCTAAAGAACAAGATTGTTAACAGGAGCTGGTGGAGACCAAACCAGAGCTAAAAACAAAGGGAATATTGGCCTGTTACTACTCCAAACACTAATATACTGTTTGCTTGTGTCATTGTTGTTTTACAGCTTGTTCCCCTGCCCCCAAGTGGCCAAAAATCATTTAATGTTGCTTTAACAATAAGTAAAATGTAATGAAAAGGCAATCTCACCTGGTTAAGCGTGTCTGGTTTGATTCCAACCTGCGGCCCTTTGCTTAACTTTGCCCCCCCTCCCCGTTTTCCCACTTTCCTGTCACTCTTTAGCCAGTTTATAAAATAAAGGCAATAAAAAATCTATCTAACAAATTTAAATGTTTACATGTTTAGGAACTTTAAGCACAGTGTCTCATGACAGGAAATATGCCTACATATACTATCGCTGACATGTTCACTGGGAGCCATTTCACAAAGAAACACAGAGGAGAGCACTTGTCTATGAAAGAGGTACCTATCAATGTTTATAACAGCTTTTGCTCCCAATGTGATTCATTCACTGACTTGAGAACGAGCCGATCTTACAGAGGATGTGCTCCTGCCTTCACTTCAAGACACCTTCCTTGATAGTACAGCAGCTAAAACAACAAAAGAGTGTTTGTGCTGCTGCTTACAATAAAAACCCATAGGGTTTGTGTGTACCACTCTCTGGGCTTTCAGCGTTGTCTTTACAGACAGAGGAGGCTGGCTAATATCTCCTGTGCTTTAATACATCGGCCTCCCTGCTAGCGTGTTTTCTGCAAGATGCCTTTCTCCTCTCACTCTGTCCAGGCATGCAGTTTAAAATCTCTTTGTCCTCAGCCTGCTCCCGCCCAGCCATCCATCCTAATTTAAACGTCTCAGCCTCTAGCTTTGAACTTTGCCAAACAACCCTGTCGGCTCCAGACGTCGGGGAAAAAAGACCTTGAAGAACAGCGATGCGCTAGGAGTGCCACACAGCCATCAGCTTGTTTGCCTAAGCAGATATTAGCATTAAACACAGAAGGAAATGAGGCAATTAGAATCACAGTGGTATAGAGAATAAAATTAAACAAAGCAAACCAGAGGATGCATGCAAAATTCTCCTGCGTCGGAGGAGATAAATTCTGAGAGTCAGCATTCAAACACACAGCGTTTGCCATTCGCACAGTATTAACCGCCAGGGGGTTCCTCTGAGGACTGCAAACATGTTTTCCTCTTAACAGCTGTTTTCTCACGGGAACTCTTAGTGTTTTCCACCTCCAGTTTCTCCTAGGGTGAACCAAATAAGTCATATAGCAGCACACTAGTCCCCAGTTGTCCATTATAAAGCAGTGCTCGTTAAGTGGCTGCTAATTTGTCCTGTGGTCACCCATATACGTCATACTGCATCACAGGGAATTTCAACACTCCTCCTGTACACAGTCCCATAAGAGATGGTGAAATGAGAGAGGTGCCAACCGCTTCCTGAAAAATAATAAGGAAATATTACCATTTTAATAGACTTGCCGCCTTATAATAACTTGCTAGAGCCTAGTGTTTTACAGTAAATGAAAGAACAGCAGCACTTTGATCCACAGAAAACTTGACTTTGAAACAAAGGGAGTAATTGGGTGGATGTAATTAAATGTTCCATTTCCACAATGGTTTAATCATGCTGTTCTTAAAAGTGACTGGTAATGCATGCAGTCCCCACAATCGACTGCCCTTTCCTTATGCTAAGTTAGCATTTTATAAAAATGCAAATTTGAACAATTGTGAATGAGGAAATGTGTTTAGTCTGCATAAAAGTGGTTGTTAACCATTTAATCAACAAGTTCCCCTCTTTTGTGCCACAAGTAAGCATGCATAATTCATCAGCGCTAATAATGCATTTGATGTTAATCAGCGTGCGCTGTTTAACTTAAAGTTGGAAGTATTACATTTCATCTGCAGAGTGTTTAAAATTGATGATATTCATTGACTCACAGATAAAGAATTGTTTTAAAGCCCTTATTCCAGACATCTGTTGTTTACAGATTTATAGCCCTGTTTTGTCTCAGGGGGGAAACTCTTTATTGGCCCTTCTTTGTCAGGGTTTCTCATTTGGTATGCATTGTGGCCATTAGCACACAGTGTCCTTCTGCTTGAGAAAGAGTTATGCAAAAAGGATAGCTTTGCTCAAAGGTAAAATAAATAACCTTTAACCAACTTGATGCCATTATCCGGAATCACTGATGTTGAGGAACCATTCATCTTTGAAAAGTGGCCATTTTGATGTGGCATGGTGTTTTTTTCTGGTTGTCTTGATGGAGATTTTACTTAAAGGGAAACTGCACCATTTTCACATGTCTTCAGAACGCCTATGGGACAGCAAAGTCATTGGGTAGATCCACTGTGGTCCAGACTCTAACATCTCAACAGCTGTTGGACCGATTGCTATGAAATATAAAAAACTAATGACATTCCCAGATATTAGCACATGCTAAACTAAGATGGTGAACAGGGTAAACATTATACCTAATTAACATCAGCTTTTCAGAGTTTTCACTGTGGGCATGTAGCATGCTGTTGTTAGCATTTAGCTTAAAGCCTCACAGAGCTGCTTGTCTGGCTGTAGACCACTGACAGTATATAAAACGGACAGAGCTTCCAGGTCTGTGCAGTGAAGCCAACGAGGAAGTGTCTTAAACTTTAAACTTAAACACAGCATTCTGTGGAAAGGCCAGCAGGGGGCAATGTACTAAGCTGTCTGGAGAAATGACCCAACTTCTTACTTGATTTATGAGCTCAGTAAACAGTTTCCTAATGAGTTTATGGTCTCAATCTCTGCTTCTTCCATACAGCACGATGTTCATTTAGTGAATGATGGTCCCATTTAGGGTAAAACAGACAATAAAGCATAGTATGCTTTAGGGCGTGGCTACCTTGACAAATCATCATCACTGAGTCCGTCCAGCTGAACACACAAAACTCAGATCAAACTGTCAAACTAGGCAGTGCTGATCAAATATGGATCCTGATTCTGTTACTGCGTTGACTAGTTTTCCCCTAAAATCATTTCAGAAACGTATTTTAGTGTACTGTTAGCTGTAATACGAGATTGTGTGTGACCAGGCGAGTCGCCATTGTTTCCTGCTACGGACGAGTCGAAACAAAACAAATGAGCGCCATGGCTCAAAACTGTTATTTTTACCTCTCAGATCAGAAGAGACATTTCATCCAAACTGGACAGTGACAAAATTAAACTAAAACTGTCTTTGCTAGTCTTTCCACTCTTCCAACAGTCATCAACTCTGGTTTAGTCGAAATAAATCCTTAGATTACTGAGTTAAATGTTAAACATTCTGGCTCTGAGCAGCTGTTAAACAGGCTGCAGTTGTTAGTGGCTACTTATTTAATAAAACACAGGACAACACGTTCAATGAAGTTTTCCAATCTTTAAAACAGTGTTAATCTAATTTTGTCATTGATCTCTTTCTCTTCCCTGTTGTTTTCATCTGTGTTCCACTGACTTGAACTTGTGTCAGTGCTATCCATTCACACTTGAAAAGTCTAAATCTGTAACCTCACTTGTCTTGTCCACCCTCCTTGTCCTCTGCAGATTCACGTACACCTTAGGGGAAGGAATGTGGCTGCCGTTGAGTAAAAGCTTTGTCATCCCCCCTGCCGAGCTCGCCATCAACCCCTCAGCTAAGTGCAAGACGGACATGACAGTCATGGAGGACGCGGTGGACGTACGGTGAGAGATGACACATCACTTTCCCCCCAGTGTTACTTTGTAGCGGTGCCGTTTCATACATGATGATAGAAGCTCCAACTAAAGAAATGAAAGGTTTCGTAAGGCTGTGAACGGTACGAGAGCAAGTTTCTTTTCATTGCTGCTCTGAAGTATTACCAGGACTTTCTGTCCACTTTGTGTTTTATTGTTTCTGATGAAGCTTCACCACCCAAAAAGGACATATTGGCTTTTTGATAAATATTTTTCACGACCATCTCTTTCATCCGTCATCCCCCAGAATGTAGCTGTTGACTCACTGGCTGTCTCGCTGTTTTGTATTCTCATTTCATCAGCACTTGCTTTTTATTTACTATTGTTGCAGTGAGTCTTGAGCAGCCCTGTGAGGTTGATGCAGAGGTCTTACCGGTCATGATTCAGTGGATAATAAAACTCTAAGATCCAACACAAAATCAATTATGAAGATGCAGGAAAAAAAACAGTTAAAAGAAGGAATAAGAAGAAAGAATTACCCTGCAATTCAAAGCCATAAAGAGCATTTCAATTGTTAAATGGTTCATAACTCCTCCAAAGAAAATCTGCTCTGTGTGCAATGACTGTGTTTGTGCCTGGGCTGCAGAGAGAGCCGTAACCGAGCCAAAACAACGCTGCAGTATTAAACTGGACTCAGCTGACAGCGGTGACACAACAGAATTATTTAGCGATTTTGCTTTGCTAGCAGCGGAGAGGGGCTTAAAGATGGTAATGTTGCTCAGTCCAGAACTTTGGTTCAGAACAAGACATCCTCATAACAAGATGGCCATGTTATGAATGGCCTCAGAGGACTGTTCGCTCTACTTTTTTTGAATCCCTCACTTGTTTGTCTCTATTTCAAAAACTAATGATTGGATGTCTGTAAAGTTTGCTCTGGATATTCCAGTAGATAAAGCCTGGCTTTTATCTGTAATGCTACCATAAGGCCAACATTTTGACTCACAATAAATATCTAAATCTGCACAAAGGAATCTACTGAGACCATTCATGCTCCCAATATATGCTGCCTCTATAGTCTGTTGGCCTGACTCAACACTCCCAACTGTATGCAACAACTCTGTACTACATACTAATTATGAGCAGGTTTTGAGTATACAGTGTGTTCACACTGTTCTTGATGGACATTATTCCCCCACAGTGCATTTCACAAGGGTATTGAAGAGTTGCTCACTGCTGGAAGAAATGAAAAGTAGTTGTGGAACACCTTAGAAAAAAAGTTGGTACTGCCAACTGCACTTTACTGCTTAAAAACTGAATCAAGAAAACAAATTGAAATTCATATTGTTCATATATATTATATTAGTGATAATATTGTGCTATTTTATTTCTCAAACCAAACCTGCGCCCTTGAGTTAGTACGTAGTATACTGGAGCTCAGTAATAGTTATATGCACCAGTTATCACACTGAGGGGCATGCAATGCATGTGCAAACTCTATTAAATCAGACAGGAAGCAAGTTTAACTACCGAGTTATTGATACTTAAAGCCCCTAAAACATACTTTCATTTAGTGTTGATTCTGGCGGCCCCTGTGGACAAAACGCGGTAGTGTTTCCACAGGTAATCCGACTGAATCTGACTAAGTGGCAGACATAAAGAATAACTAAATAACCAATCTACTCACTGATCTATTGGCAGATCATCATCATCATTAATCACATGAAGATAAGAATTGCTGTGTTTTCCTTACTTGCGCCATGTTGAACCGCCATTTTTCTACAGTAGCCCAGAACTGACAAACCAAACACTGGCTCTAGATAGTACCTTTCATGTTTTTCACAAGTTTCGTAGCAACCGTAGTTTCTTCAACACACTTGGCACTTCTGTATTTAAGCTAGATGGCACTAAATCCTACACACTGGCCCTTTAAGCAACTAAACTCCATATTTGGGATAATTCCCATGGGATCAGACTGTTTTTTGTTGTTGTCCATAACCATTGTGCCTGCATTGTGATGGTAATTATCCTTTAAAAATTTGACAAAGTTGACTCATTCTACATCACGTTGTAGACACTGTATGAATTAGCTGCCAAAATGACTCATTTTGACAGATCTCTGAGAGATACTGGAAGACAACATCTACTGATGCAAAGACCTAATTTACATATTTTTTGGTATATTCCTTTCAAATGTCCCCGACCACTTAGTCAACAGTTTAAAAACAATAAATTATTAATTTTGTGAAAAAAAGTTTAAAAAATCTAAGTAAATCTGTAACATTTATACGAAAGCCTAAACCCAGCGGTGTAGAGACATATTTAGATATAAAAATTGATGATGATTCCAGCAAACCTTATGCATGAGGATCCTCTCTCTGTCCCAGCTCTTACTAGGTGTCTCATACTTATAAACATAGGAAGGACAGACCTATGCACTCTGTTGTTGAACCTACTTTCTTCAGTGATCAGCAGCATTATTATTCACCAAGAGAATTAATGCTTTGATAGCATTATGTCGTAGCATAAGTCTGTGTGAACAGGATTACTTTGGGAGAAGAGGTAGGTTAATGTAATTAGTAGTGGGAATTGTCTTTTAGTGTATGCTGGAGCATGCCCTGTCAACAAGTTAGTGTGCACAACCGTGTCAGATCCTGTCCTAATTTGCCGATGGTTATTTGCTCTGTGAAAATGATGTCAGGTAAAATTAGTCTCGCCCAAATGAATATCAACATCATTTTTTCTTATTAGCATGTAAGTACTTAAGGAGTTTTTTTTCCTTCCCCCCGTCAGTGGGTAATTTCAAGCCCTCGGATGACGAGATATGAAGTAGTCCCGTGACGAGAGTATTCTAAAAATAAAACTGATTAGAAGAACAGGATTTAATGTGATTGTCAGTGCCTCAAGTAGGTTTTTTTTTTCACGCTGATCATCAAAAGGAGTGTGTAAGGTTTCTCAAGACAGATTTCTTAAGGGACAATTCACAGGTGTAACACAGTCGTTATATCTCTTTTAAGACCTCATTATATTTGAGGTTTGAGCTAGCACTGACAACTGTGGTCACCATAATCTATGGACTATGATGTAGATAAACTTTCATGGCACACTTTCAGTGACAACCCCCCCCCTATTTGCATAACGAAGCAGACATGCATAATGAAATTTAAAAGGGAAATATAGAAATAAATAAGTTTGGGTAAATAAATAGCGGGGAAATACAAAGTGAAAATAATACATAAATAAATACATAAATAAATGAAGGAAATAACAAAATAAAATGTGAAAGTAAATTCATTGCGGAGGTAAGGTAAATCAATTTTATTTTAATAAATTAATTAAAGTCTACACTTGGGTTGTTTATTTATTTTTTATGTTAGCATGTTCGGCCCTCCATAGTTGCTCAATTGATGATTACTAAGAAGCATCTGCCCTATACGAAAACCCTTACAATAGTTGTCGCGGCATGACCATTCATTTCACACACATCTAAAGCAATACGGGTACATTGTTGTTTTTGCCATGTGTTTAAATTTCATAAAATTATGTGACTTTGGTGTCGTCCCACCTACAGTATGTCTGGTGGGAAAAGGGATGTGTGTATTCAGTCTACAAACTTTTTCCACAAACTTTTCTTTATTAGATTTTCCTCAATCTGTTTTGGGTGCTTCAGTGCACAGACACAATCCTCAACTGTACTGATTAAATAAATCCCATTGATCTTTCTGACATTTATTTTATAATTATTTATTTATTTGCTGTTTATAATCATATTTCTGTTACAAATTAATTAATTCATTTTCATAAATACATTTTTAAAGTTAATAAAAGTTAATAAAGTTTTTTTAAATAGAGCCATTTGACAGTTCTGACTATGCTGAACGGAGTTGTAGAAAGAGAATAATCTTCTTGTGTCTTACAAATAGTTTCAATGCATATATTGTCAAAACATAAACTAGACAAGGCTGCATCACCTAAGGAAAATATAAGTGTGCTTGTGAATCACTTAATTATTTAATTTATTTAAAGTTTTAAGTTAGATAATGTTACAAACATGACTTACATAACATACCATACTGCCTTTTACCCAAACCAAGTAGTTCTGTCGCCTCAACCTAACCAAACTGCGACAGTCTCACAACGTTAGCTACGTGTTTAATGTCACGTGATGCAGAACCCAGGACGCTGCCTGTCGCTGGTACTCTCCAACAGTCATATTTGTCAGTGGTTCCCAACCTTTTCCTTAACGGATCACTTTTCTGTCATTTAGTAAACTGACGACTCCTGAAGTGACATATTTTATGGATATTTTATATTGTATTAAAACCTGTACAATGAATAGTGAACGCAGTAACTGCAAGGAGTTTGTGATTTGGATTAATTTTGAGCAGATTATTTTCTGTTTAAGGAACTTTTTATACAATTCTCTGTCTGTATGATGTATTTTTAACAATCATACAAACTTAATAGGCTTCTTTTATACAAATTCAGTGTTTTTTTGTCCTTGATGCTCGGCCATTGTTCAGAAGTGAACAAAATGCTGAGCTATAGGCCTATTGTGTATTTTTGGCGGGTTTTCTAAGTTTTCTAGCTTGCCCTGATTATGTCATTTTGGGAGTCACTGGAAGTCAACCAGTTCCGTCGTTTAGGGTTGAGGACGTGTTGGATTCAAATAAAGTTGCTGTCCGGGTCACAGCTGGTTAAAACTACATGAGTTCTAAAAAACAGGAGTGGACAAATGTATAGTTTGTGACTGACCCTGTGACTGACAGAACCCATAGGTAACATGTTGATATAAAACGTCTCCACAGTATTTAAATCATTGGAGTTACAGGATGAATCTTTTAAAGAAAGAATCTGTATCAGTGAATAGATACTGAGTCACTTCCTGCACTTTAACAGTCATTATTCAAAAGACCTTTACACTTTGCGTAAAAGAGAACATAGCTGAACATTTTCACAAACAGTATGTGTATTCAGTGTGGGAGGGAAAGCAGATGTGGAGGTCTGGGAGTTTGATGGGCGTGTAGCAAATC